GAGAGAGAGAGAGAGAGAGAGAGAGAGAGAGAGAGAGAGGAGAGAGAGAGAAAGAGAGGGAGAGAAGAACATGAAAGCTGAGAATGCTTCGAGGCAGATGTGAACGTGACAATTTTTGTACCATCAACTTCTCTCTGTTTCACGCACATACTTTCTTCAATGACGGTGATGCCTTCTTATGATGTGTCAAATAAAACTATTTATTTATTTGTTCATTCATTTATTTATTCCTGATAACTTAAAGACGGCAAATCAAAAACTTAGCAATAACCTGTTTGAAAAAATCACTTTTCGTTAAATTTACTGCTGTCTGTACGTTCGCTAGCAAACTGACTATTTTAAAACATTTCTGAATAAAAATGTAAAGTTTCCAAAGAATAAAGACCAAAAATTTATATAATTTTTTTTATTTAAATATGATTGATAAGAATTTCCTTTCTTATTCAAAGTGATTTATTAAATTCGTCTTCTTAACAAAAATTTCTTCTAACTATTATAAAAATAATTGAAATTTTTGAAATGTAACTAAAACCGACAGAAATTATCAACTAAAGAAAACGACTTTTTTAAATAGGCAAGGAAGTTCTTCTAAAAAATTATTTTGCATGCATCAAGACAAGTGTCATACATCACCATTAACAACGATTCATCATTTCCTCAAAATGTTATCCTTTAAACGCCAACGACTATTTTAACTGGAAAAATAATTAAAATTCCCGCTATACAGTTTATTGCATGTTGAAAAGCTAAAATAAAAGTTACCAAACCGACTAATTATATATAGAAATAATGGTAACTAAAACAAAAGTAAAAATTAAGTGTACCTAATATTCCACATTTTCGGTTTATAAAACAAGTAGGTACTTGAGCTACGTAGATACTCATTCATTGAAAGTAAAATCAATTATTAAATATTAAATATGTTTTGCAGATTGAGTTATATGAAATTCAATTAGCTTTATTTGTTAAAAAGAGTATAAATTTATAGATATTTGTATGAAATAAAATCTATAAGAACGATATGATCATGTTACAAGTTCTGTACGTTTGTTATTAAAAGTGATCTAAATAAGCGCGCTACAATCGATTGAATCATCCTAGCCTAGCTAAGGATTAATTATTATTAAGAGAGGGTGTACCATGTCTGATGGCAAATCCCAACTATTATAACTAACGATCCTCAAAATAAATAAAAACACCACAAACTAACGAAGTAATTCTTGCAGCTATATAAGGAGAAACTGCGATATGATTCCTATAGGTACTCGGGCTGCTGATGAGTCCTCCCCGGTGGAGACTGTCCAAACAAATCTTTTCTTCTTTTCACTCCTGCGCCCTATTCTTCCTGGTTTGTTGTTCTCTTACAGCAGCATCATACATTAGCGCAACCGCAACACCCATATATTTTAATTAATAGCTATATGTGGATGTGTTTACTAAAGATTTAATTTCTTTAATAATAATGACTATGCATAATGGTGTACAGACGGACTTACCCCCTTGGGGACTACCGTGGCCGCTAGACTCACATGATCCTTGGAGCAGTGCCGATCCTAGGCCTTTGGTCGCCCACATGCAAACTAAAATTGGCTGTCCTGTTTCACAAATTTCATCTCTAAATTTTCAAATAAATTGCCACCATTTTTAAAGGATATTGAAGACACAATTTTGTTAATTATTATCTTAGGGCTCAAAGCAATTCACCGCACCGCCAGCCGTCTATTCACTTTTTATGCAAACAAACTAAATCATGTAAAAAATGTACAAAATTTTGCTTTAAAAATTGGCTTGAAAAGTTTTGGTTGTAACAACATAATGTTTCTTTATTTGGTTTGAATTTAAACATATTTTTTAACACATTTCAAAACATTTTTATTCAAGAACTAATAAAATATTTGTAGAAAATTTTTAATAGAAATTCAAATAATTGCAGGAAATGGTCACAGTAATTTTATGACTAGAAGCTTAAGGGTTGCTAAATGATTTATCAACCTAAAAAAATATCGTGTATTAATAGTAATATCGAGTGAACTTTCATCAATTCCTATGTAGCAAATTAAAATGAATACGAGAAGTTTAATGGGATGTAACTAATTTCAATTCATTATAGTATTATTGTATAAATTTTAGTTATTTCATATTTTGTTGAGCCTAGAACCCTGATAAGAAGTGATAATCCAATTTTGTTACCGTCAGTCACTCGGTTACCGTCACTAAACTTAAACCATCACTGAAATGATTTACTAAGCGGGAGTTTTGTTTTTGTTGTGTGGATTTTTCAAGTCTCTCTTGCGTATGTGATTCATTAAACATTAAAGATTGTAAAAGTGAAAGTAAAGTTTTTGTTTGTAATGTTCATTTTTAAAAATATTGATTATGACCAACCAATAAGTTAATTAATTAATTTAGCATTAATTGGCAATCGCGTATATTTTGTGGTGTGTTGCAGTTGCACTCATATTTTTTACTTCTCTATTCTATATTATATTGAAATTTAAATTTTAAAATTTAAATGATTAACATTAAAATAACATAAAAGGTGAGAAACCAAAAAAATAAAAAAAAATATTAAAAATGATACTTAATTTGTTTATGTACTCTTTTATAGTTTTATAAAACTTGAAAAACTCAACTTTTGACAAAATTGCATATTTTGGCTTTGGTTGATTGGTTGAGTAATGATATTTGAAATGCAACATTTAATAAATTTTAAAGAAAGCTCAATCTAACATTCATTTTCAATGCAACTTATATTATAGATTTGACTTGAGAACTGTTTTAAAATTATTTGTAAATTGTCACTATTGAATATTAATATTTTTTGCCAGATATAAAAATGACAACATTTCCTACCTTTCCACTCCAAGATTTGATCAGTACATATTTAGATGATTACAATTTGAGATTGCTTCCAGAGTATTTTAAAAATCCGAAGGTATTTGATCATCTCTATCCAAGGTTATTTTAGATTTAAAAATAAAATTTGTTTCATATTCACACAGCCAGATTTATGGTCCAATATTCTTGCTGAGCTTGCTTCCAAATATTTTTACCAGACTTTTGATGTTTTGGAGAAGAAATTGGTATGAATTTAATTTTTTATAGAGTGATAAAATGAATTTATTTACTTTTTTAATTTTAGCGATGTGTACATGATCCATCTAATTATCCCATATTGTATGAAGCTGGAGAATATCAATTGAAATTGGTATTGTTGTTGTAAGTTTTTACAATTATAAGAATGTCTTTCATTTTTACATTAGTTTTTTTCCATTTTTTTAATTTAAATTAGTTTTAGCTAACAGTATTTACTTTCTTTATCCTCCCTGCCACCAATGCCTTTTGCTTGCCAATGCCATTTTTGATTGTTTCTTCTCACGTTATCTGATGTGCTCTGCTCATGTTCCAACATCTGCTCTGCGTCATTCTGTTGTGTCACCTGGTGACTTCTCATCAGTTCTGCCAGTCATTTGTTTTGACAAGTTTTTCATGATAAAATAATCATTTAGCATTTGGTTTATTTGGTCAAATATTTCCAACTTCATAATGTTTACTGCAGAAATATCATGCTAGTTGTTTTAATTGACAATTTTATTTTTGCACATTCAATTTATCTTTTATTTCAATACTTTAAAAATGAGGTTTGTGAATTTTGATAAAAAATATAGTGCTTTTTAAACACTTTAATGACTAGTCTGTTGAAGATTTGTCCAATATTTGCAAATGAGAAAAAGACCTGTTTTTAAAATATTTCTAAAATTTTTATTTTTATAAAATTGCATTTATATGAGAAAATCTTATTTTTGCCAATTCCCTTGTCCTGCATTAATTGTCCTTTCCTGCCTGACTAACTCTATTTCAGAAATGACATAGCTTATTAAAGCAAATAGTTCTTGTCTAAAATATTTTATTTTTCTAAATCATCCTGAAACTTTTAAAAGTTTCGTAACCATATTTTTTTAAGATTAATGTTAATTGATATTTTTGTTATTATAGTAAGTCGATGCTATCAAACAGTGGACTAGATGATTTAACATATTTGGATCTTGCCAGGCCTAGTAAATGAATTTATAATTTGTCTTTGTTTTTCACTTAAAAATTTAATCAAATACGTTTTACATTGTACAATAGCATTTTAAAAATTTGTATCATATAATTTCAATATAAACAAGTGATTAATGTTTTTGCTACGCATTGTTTTGTGGGTTACTTTGGATAAAAGGAGAATTCAATATACAGAGGCTTCACCGGGTTCATTTTAAAATACTTTTCCTGTGTACACTACGTTTCCTTATTGTACATTAATCTTTAATTTTGTTTCATGTGTCATCCGAGTTTTTTATTGATGGTTAATTTAGTGTAATTGTTCTAAACCAGAAACCGATGATCCTTTATCATTATGTTAATTGTAACTGGTTATGTAATTATTTGAAAAGATTTAAAGTTCTGTTATTTCTCATGGCATAAATATCTAAAAAATAAAATGTGTGATGTTTTAATGCTGTATTGACATGCCAAACAGTTCTAAATTTTGTTTATAACAAAAATGTTTCAGCCAGAGGCAAGCTTTGTATAGTATTGTCAGCTCTGTTGAACAGATTTCGTTTCAATTTTACTCATCGTCAGAAAATTGAGGACAGGCAAATTGAAGAGGTTATTTTGATTATGCAAAAGAGAATGGATCTTATGATAATAAATTTTATTTTTTCAATATTTAATGCTTTTCAATCCTGTTTTGTTTGCTACGTTTGGAGTTTAGCCACCTTTACAAATGCAACAAACCTTTGTTTTAATCTTTTGTGTTAACTTTGAGTAAAAATAAGCACTTTAAATCTGATGCTGTCTTTCTGGATACAAAATTTTAAAAGTATATTTTAAATAAAATGTAAAACACTTGCCAATGCAATGTCTAACTCAATGTCTAGATTAATCTCTCATTGTGTAAAATGTATTTGAAATATTTTTTTTCCATCTCCATATAATTTTAATTTCTGTCAAAAATGAAGAGACGTGATATGGATATCCACAAAACCATCAGCAATGCCATCAGCAGCCATCAAACTGTGCTGGACTCCATCAACCAAGAGTTGAAAGATTTGGATGAGCAAGAGAAAAATGTTAGTGTTTTTGTTGTTTAGCAATATTATTTAAAAATTATTTATTTTACGTGGTTGTATTTGGGTTTCATATTATTCATTCCATTTAAAGACTCTTAAATTAAACATTTATGGTATTTGTCATTGTATAACACCTCTGCTCTGTTTGTCACATATGGTTGGCGAACATTGAGTGACAGATTCTGTGTCTTGAACTTACAACAATATAATTGTGAATAAATTATATTTTGGTTGGGAGAAAAATAATCAAGTATAGTTATTTTTAATTTATGTTTTTCACAGAGAAAAAGAAAATTTCAAGAAATCTCATTGCATTTCAGTGAAGAAATCGTTGTCCAGGAAAATCTTGGAATCTCTAAATTAGAAGCAACAATTTCAGCCAATCAAGAAACTTCGGTTAATTCTTTGGCATTTTGGCATGAGAGTTATTTTTTCTGTTGATCAAAAAAATTTTAAGTTTAATTTTTAAATTATCATTAATCGGTCATTTTGAAATATGTTTCATTATTTTTGACTAAACTTTTTCACATTTAGAAATTTACTACTAAATTATATTGTAATTAATATTTGTTATCATAGCGTGTTTTCCCATTTTCAGAAAGAATGAATGAAATAAATTTATAATGCTCTTAAATGGTTTCTCTTTAGCTAGAAGCACCTCTGGAAGGATTTATGCACTACAAATATAGCTCTTATAGATTTAGACTACATTAATTTATTTTTGTACATATTTTTGATGTAAACTAACTTTTCTATTGGTAAAAAAAATTGTTCATGTTAAACTGCAACAAATTTCAGTTTGCAAGTTTGTTTATAAATGCAAGGGCTAAATAAAATACTTTTTGAGTGGCTTTTGATAATATTGAACAACATTATTTTTCTGAGAGATGTTTTTTTATTTCATTTTAATTTTGATTTTATTAATTATTATCAAGAAACTAAATGTTGTTTTTGTACAGCTGAGAAAAGAGGAGATAATAAAAGATCTGCAGAACCGACTGAAGCAGGCTGATTCAAGGATCGTCAAATCTCCATTCAGGCTTCAGCAAACAATTGAACATTATAAGAAAAAGGTTGGACGTTGCATCCTACATATTAAATCATCTATTTATTATCGCTGTCCTACCTTACATCATCTATTTATTGTCGTTGTGTCTAGTTGCTTGGATGAATTAAATGAGAAGTTTGTGCATAATTTTGTATTGTATAGTATTCATCAGAAATTCAACTTGTGCTTTCAAATCTAGTTTTCAAAAAACAGCCTTGTTTTTTAACCTTATGTTAGTCGATTTGTTTTCATTTTTTATTAAAATTTTGATGGGTTGTAAATGTAAAAATTGAAACTAATTTTATTTGTATGATTTTTTATCAGCTTCCAGACCAAATACACGGAGTGGAAGAAGCTGTTGCAAAGTACAGAGAAGAAAGAGAAGGTCTGAGACACGATTGTGAAAGGTCGAAGGACCACCAAGCTTTTGACGATGTAGTTTATCACTTGAGGGATCTTTCCAATAAAAATATGTAATATTTTCTTTTTTTTTTCCTTCTTTATGAATTTGAACTTAGAATCACTTGTTTAAATTATGTATTCTTTGACCCTAACCAAACATGAAATGTGTAACAGATAAACGATTTGTTTAAAAAATTTACCATAGTTTTTTTGTAAGAAAAGAAAAAATTTACCACAAACCTTATCCACTTTTATTCCAGGTTTCAGGCTCAGTACAACAAATATTTTTATATCAATTTAATATCAATGTAACATGTAATTCATGTAATAATATTTTTTTTACAAAAAACAAATCATTTGTCTTTAATGTAATATACAGCAACTGCATTTTTTTTTTAAATTGTAAGATACAAATATTTTCTTATATTGATTTTTTACTAATTTTTAAAATTAATTTATAAAAGGAAAAGCAAGGAAGCGGTGAAGAACTTCTCAAATGTGATGGACAATGCTGTAACTGAGTGGAAGGATTCGGTGGTTACTGTGAAGAACAAGACTTCAAAGAACAAAAAAACTATGGAAGCTTATCACAGTTTAATTAACAAGATGCAAGCCAGTCACCGAGATTTGGAAGATCAATGCTCTGGCAAAGAACAGTCAGTCACTTCTTACAAACCTAATGTCCATATTAACTAATTAATAATAATTACAATACGATTCCAAATAAATGTATCTTTTTACCCTATCAAGTATACCCAGCACTAATACTAATTCCCCCTTACAATTCTTGGAGATGCTTTTTATAACGCTAAAGCCTATATATATTATACATAACAATATTAATAAATGTCACTTATAGAGCACCAATACAAGCGACCGAGGCACCCTCAAAACCAAGAAATTAATAATTGATAACCTAGATTTGATAAGAAAGGTAAAGTTTTGTTATTTTGACAACTTCCAGCTCTTTCCCTTCATATGTTTTCAAATTGTAGTCTAATCAGCACTAACCGGAGACAAGATTAATGTTGGTCGTTCATGAAGTTCTTTAGTAAACTTCTGACTCCATAGAAACAGTAACATGGTCGAACATTGAGACTATTGATAATATTCTTTGGCATGAGGACCTTGATAATATTCATTACATCAATGTCCTCAAAGAATATTATCAATAGTAATATTATCAATTGTAAATTGTAATGTGACGTGAGATAGTTTTTTATTTGAAGTAAAGCCGGCAAGAAACGGAGGTGGTGATTTAAAAAAATGATAATTGTTAGTGATTGATTGGGGTTACACAAAAACATTTTCACCCTTCATTTCATTTCTGTCAAAAGTCTTTAGTAGATTTTTTATTCAGTTTACTGCTGCATCACTCTTTATAGTTCGCTTACGTTGATATTGGTAATAATTGCCTGTTACTAATACAGCTCAAAAGTAAATTAATGACTTCAGTTTTATACAGTACTTCTACTTGCTAAGCTGTGTGCGTAACTGCACTTAACCACGATTATAAAGACAATGATTCTAATTTTAAGTTTTTTGATGTTTCAACTTTGTTGTTTAAATGAAAGAAATTTATTGATTAATTATAGAAATTGATTGGTTATTTATTAATTTTCTTTAGGTTATTGAAAAATTTTCAAGCAAGTTTGTCAAAATATGATGAACATCTGTCCGTTTTGTTAATGAAATCAAATAAGGCTGTAAAAGAACACCAAGAAGATTATGCTTCCTATTGTGATTCCATCAAACGATTTGAACTGCTGGTAATTTCCTTCTTTTATGATTATTGTAATTTTAATGCAAGCTTGAGAACAAACGCATTTTTATCAAATTATATATATCCTAAACTTTATACGCATTATATGGGTTTTATCTACTGCTGCAAAATTTCTTTTCAACATCTGATTAAACGTTTTGGTAGAAAATAACTGTCTAGCTAACTTAAAACTTATTTTTTTGGCTTAATAATGCATTGGATTTTTTTCTTCTAATGCACATTAGACATACAAATTTTCTCAACTACGATTTCCATTTGTTAAACATCACTAAAAAAAATGTTCGTTCTAGGTTGGGTAAGACTTAAATAAGACTGCTCAAAGTTTTTATCTACTTTTTGCTTTCAGTTCATCCGAATATATTTAAATTATCATGGCGTGCTCTTGTTTTATTTCAATTTACTAAATTATAAAAACAAAGTAAATTGAAGAAGACTAATGTATGAATTATTCTCAATTTTGCCTGCCGGAAATGTTAGTTATTTATGATTTCTGGTTGTGAAACTTTTTTTATTCCATTTGCTTTGTTATTTTTAATATGTTTTAAATTCACTCTAAAATTTGAGATTTTAAACGCTTTTAACAATAGTATGGATGGACATTATATAACAATAGTGTGAATACATTTACATTGGTATGAAAATCAGGTGAAAGAGCAAGAAAGAAAGATTTTCAATAAGTTCATGGACCATTTGAAGTTCATTCAAAAGAATTCCATTTACAAAACTGATGATGTTTAAACATTACGAATGAAACTCAATGGTAGTTATGTATATCCTAAGTAAACAGTGCTTGCTGATTTTTTAAATTGTGAATTTTTTGCAATTGCTTTTTCATTATTAAAAAATAAAGATTATTAAAATGACTTTTATTCATTGCACACACAGGTTGTGTTTTTCAAAATAGCAAATTTTATGTGTTACGATTTTCTTACATGTAACAGTAACATTAAACCTCTCTTGGTAAAGTTGAAATAATCTTTGAGGATCCTCTCAGCTGGTTTTCATATTGTTCCTTTTCGATTTTTCTTCTACGTTCAAATTGAGAAAGTTGTGTATTTTCTAGTATTCTTGAAATAATTGCATTGTTCCGTCAATTTTTTTCCTTCAATGTTGCTTTACTGTTGCTAGAAAAAGGTTTCTAGCTAGAGGGTAACATTAAAACGGATATTTGGCTAACGCGTGTGTTCGCACGGACCATTAATTTAATGAAAACGGTCGTTTATAGGCATTTAGATTTAATTTTTTTCTAATCACAATAATTTTAAATATTTTGCCAAACTAGCGCAGAAACATTGAGAATTTTTAAAAATCAGCGTGATTAAATGTGACAGGTCTTTTTTATTACGTCTGCATCATACTATTCTAAGATAGACCCCTTACTCGATTTATGTTGATGCAAGGATTCGATCAATTTCATCCTTTTGGAAGCTTTTAACTCTGCTGCTCGTCTAGTTGCTCGTGCCCATTTCTTGTCTCATATATCTCATTATCTTGTTCTCTTGCACTGGCTACCTATAAAATATAGAATAATTTTTAAAATTTGCACATTAATGTATAAGTCTCAATCTAAATTATTTCAGATATCTTGTTACATTAATTGAACCTAAACGCCCCAGTTTACGATCGTCTTGTTCTCACTTTTTAACTTGTGTTAAACACTTGCTAAATCTGCATTTGCTTTTTCTGGCCCTTTTCTCTGGAACTCTCTACCTCCTTCTCTGACTACTTCTCCATCACTTACAAAGTTTAGAGCAGATCTCAAGATCCATCTGTTTGCAAAATTCCTTGGGAAGCGCGGAAATGGCGCTTTATAAACAAATTGATTGATAGAATGAGTTTCGTTAGCAGATTAGAAACTGTTTTATAAAATACGCACTTTATTCAGAATATTATTTTGTGGCCACATAAATCATTGTAAATTTCGTTGGTGTAAATTCATATTACAGTTTTCATGCGAGTAAACAAACGGGTGAAAATATTTGATTTTTTCCATTTCTTGGCTATTTTTATCTTGCAGTAACTGAATTTTCCTGTTTTCCTTTTCCAGAAAAGCATCATATAAAAACGAACTTACAATGGTTTTTGTTTGTGAAATTTTATTCAGTTTATTTTTGAGATATATGCTGCACAAAAAGCAAATAATTAAAAATGTATATTTTAGGGAATAACTTTATAACTTCATTGAGTTCAATCGTCAAAAAAATGAACTAGTCGAGTTTTTTTTCATCCAGAATTAGATTGCTGACCTGTCCACATTCTGAATTTGGGATCAAACGCGCTCAAAGCTTTGGCTCTCAGTTGGTTTTCATATTGTTCCTTTTCGATTTTTTGTTTTTCCTCTACGTTCAAATTGAAAAAATTGTGTATTTTCCAGTAATTTAAAAATTTAATCATTGGCTTATCTGGTAAGAACGTAAATTTTAAATCTACAAAATATGAAAAGGATAAAAATTATAGTATGTTATTTATCAACAAACCAGCGAGTAAAATGATATATATTCCCCAAACAAGACTCCAGATCCATCCAACAAAAAAGAAAGGGACAGTGAGGAGCTGCATGGATCCTACTGCAACGTTCACACACAGCGTGGAAGCGTATATGCCGTCCTTCGAACCCATACGAGGCTGTCCACAAATAAGAACCAGCAAGCCGCTGAATATGGTTCCTGGAGATAATTAAAATGCATTTCAACATTTTTTTTAAAATGTTTACATTAATTGTTCGCTCCTTAAATGTGTATCATCTTATGTTGACCAAAGCATCTTGCACTTGTACGTGGGATATTGAAGCACGATCTTCTGACATTCGTATCATGTAACAACGCGATTGTTTGTCAAAGATGTCACTAACTATAACAACCAATAAAAAGAAACAAAGAAGGCATAAGTTTCGTATGAAAGTGTGCCAGAGAATTTTATTTAATGTTTATTATATAAAAATTATTTATTCAAAAATTTGGTATCATGATATATGATCGTTTTTTTTTTCTGAACACCGATATGGGTAACAAAACGAAAAAATTTAGCTCAAACATTTTTATAAAATATATCTCTCTAGTATGAAAACTTAACCTGAGCCAGGTATGATGAGGTTGAGAATAAGACATATGACAGCTACTTTTTTTGGCAGGTAGGGAATGGCCGATCTGATGTATGTATCCCCTGACCTAGAAAAGTCAGCATCCAACATTACGCGGCGATCTTTGTCATTCTTCTTTCCATGTCTTTGGTATTTAAAAAAAATGTTGTTGAAAATGTTTAATATGAAATTTTATCATTTGGTTATTGCTCACGTAATCACCGAACGAATATGACCAGATTAACTGATGTAAATTAAGCGATTACGTTGTTTTATATTTCTCGATTACAAGTAGTAAGTACCACGATTTTGCGAGAATTTTGTTAAACAGTTTTATGAAAATGTCCTCACTAACTTGAAATCCTCATAGCTCTCTTCTCTGTGGCGATCACTGCCTTCTTCTCTGAAAGTTTTAACATTATATAGAATAAACTTAAAAAACCTTTAAATCAAAAACTATATACATTTATTACAATATTTATTTAATTGATTGTAATTGATGACATAATTATCACTCTTACATTAACTATTATGATGAAATCACAGTTGTGATCATATTTATAATTAGTATTAAATTAAGAAATCTGACATATATCTACATATTTACATCTGCTAATGTTAGTAAAATTAATTTCATCTTTCAATTGATTTTTTGATATGGTCGTGGTCGTTCACCGTTGACACGACATTAATATTTTAGTCGCATAATTGATTTTTTATGGAATGAACTATCGTTATTAAATTTGATCAAGTTATTTTTATTTAAATATTCTGAAAGTTATAAATAAAGGATATTTGTTATTATGACAAAATATTTTATCATTTAATAAGTGGACAGTGGCGGAATTTGCGGCGGGGAGATCATTTTTAAAGTTCTAAAGCTGATGACCTTTACGCTACACCCCGTTATTCCCATTTATTCGCGCTTCGGTTGGAGATGGTTTTCAAAATTCATCTGTTAATGACTTTTTTCGCCCTTATTTATTGAATGAGCAAACAGCGCGAATGGGCAATTATCTAATTTCTTTTTACGAGCGTTGGCAAAATGCATGAAATCTTTGAACTCTAAACAAATATATGTAAATATAAAGTTTAGTTAAAAAACGCACATCAAAATTTTGAGAAATTTAAAACCAACAAAAAATTTCAATTTACCAGTCAATTTATTTCATTTGACTATTTGCAATTTAAAAAAAAGGGAAACTGACCCTGATTTGTATTCTGAACGTTTCGCATATTGATCAGTGCTATCCATAGATAAGATGAGATCTTGTTCTCTCAGTTTGCCCAGTATTGTCTTCTTGTGCTTCTTCACTAAACTTTTCCAAAACAACCTCTGTAAAGTTGGACGCTTGTTAGTTGCTTCTATCGTGGACACCGTGTTGGTGGACATCGTTTCAATGTAATTTACTGCGCTGCCATCAATTTGTTCATTTGGATTAACTGATTTCAAGTCGCTCTCAATGCTTGATGCAGCGGTCAGCGTTGTACTTTTTGAACTTTTGCTCGCTTTCGAATCGCTGTCACTTTCCTTTTTGAATTCTTTTCGAGAAGTTTCATCTTTCAGATAAATGCTGCTTTCATTTTGAAATGATTCCTCTGATATATCAGACACTTTGGTTGACTTGAACTTACTGAAAAATTTTGGTCTTTGTTTAAATTGGAACAATTTTCTTGTGCTTTCAGTTGACATTATTTCAAATTTTATTAAAAAATAAATGATAAATTATATTAGATTCTGATAACATTCATATTAATGTAGTCAACCAACTTCTGGAAAATTTAAACTAAGCAGAAATATAACACGAGGTGAACAAGTGGATCACTGCAAGCGTCAACCACATTGGTTGCCAAGTGTAAGCGCGAACGTAAACAGAAATCATTTGCCATACACTTATTCGTTTGATGTTTCTTCGATATAATCAAACAAATCAATAATCGACGTCACCAGACATAATTTATGCGCTTCTCTATACATACATGCCTTCGAAGGGGCTCTTCTGCTCTGTCCTTTTACACACAAACACACACAAATACACACACATTCAAAAACGCCCACACACACACATTTATATTTATATACATACATATTATTTATTTATTTACATAAACTTATGAATTAATAATATATATTAGTTGATAATTAAATAATATATATGACGTAAAATTTTTGTTGACCCATCTGCAGCCGCGTGCTTGCAAAATGACTTTCAGTATTCAGTCAAACAAATAATGATGATTTAATGTTAGATAAATTGATAATAATTTTGCCTGACTTCTAGGAATGAACTTGATTTTGAAGATTAACATTGATATTTGAAATAATTGTACGACTTTCATTTGTGAAGTTTTGAGTTAAAATAAATCATGACATGATCTTATTAGTACCATATTTAATTTGTTGTCTGTCTATATCCATTATTTGTGTAATTTGGATCATCACGAGATGCCAAGCTATATGGGCAAATTGTGGTTTTTTTATAAGTTAATGCCTAAAAAGCCATTTAAAGATTCGCCTGAATTTTGCATCAAATCATTTTTAGCTGTCTGATACTTTAAAGAACGCAAACGATATTATTGATCATCTAATAAATATTAATAAGTTGAATGTATAAAAAGCTGTTTTTTTTTCAAAAAATAATTAATTAGTTAAATTTGTAAAATTAAATAATTCTTATCCAATTTCAATATTTTATATAGAAGTTGACATTAAATTGGAAAAAATCGATATAAATATGTATATAATTTATATATATTTGTGATATGTGAGTTAAGTCGTGTGAGGCATTTACAAATATCGTTTCAGCGGGTGAGTTTTATAATTTCTGCACAATCTGTCCTCAATGAAATCCATTTCATTTCCATCTTTGGTTGGCTCCGATTGGTTAGCTGGTCTGTCGTTGTACCAGTGTTTGCCATTATGCTGCTTTAAAAAATAAACATCTTGAAAATATCTTCACGATTTATGGTATAAGACAACAAAATAAACAACCTTTCTATTGTTTTCCTTTTGAGGAGTTGAGCGTGAAACTTTATTATGCCTAAATTATTTCAACAGTTTATTTATAGAGTCATTCTTTAAAATATGTAAGTATTACACAAAATATCACAACCTTAAAAGAATGACCGCCAGAATAAAAATGGCGGTAGCAAGAACAGATAGTATGATTACGGCCAGCATTATTTCATTTCTCAGCGGCACGTTTGCAGCCGACGTGTTTTTCCATTTTTCAACTCGCTCCTCGTTGGATGCGTTCACATCTGATAATGATATTCTGCCGTGATTTGTTATAATGTTATTTATAACGAGGTCATTTTCGTTTTCAAGTGGATCATTCACATCGTCAAAATCACCAATCTGGAAGATGTTCTTATTATTATCTGAAGATAGTTCATAACTGTTGCTCAATTTTTGTTTGATCCCGACATAAAAGTTTTCATGTTCTTTTTTAGTTTTTCGTTTGGTTGAAATCTGTTTGGCGGCATCATCGATTTTTGGAGCGTGCCGTTCACCGTTTCTGCCCCTTTGAAGCGCCATCGTTGAAAAATTCTCGTCATTTTCTCTGAAAACTTTTTAAAAATTTCTGGTCATGAACAGTAAAATAAACATTTATGAAACAACGTTACCTTACACAATTTATAAATTATAAATTTTTAAATAAAATGGCAAACAAATAATTAATACAAAATAAGCAAGTGATTAATAAGCTTTAATATTTACCAGTTTTTCCATTTTCATAGATTTTACAAGTTTCATCTGAAGCGTCTAATTGAAAATATTCCCTGTCAAAAATTTCTTTTGATGCAGAGCATAATTTTTCTTTGTGAACTTAAATATAACAAAATAATTTGTTGAATTTCGCATTTAAAAAGTAGTAAATGAGAGAACAAAGAAACGTGCAAACTTAAGATATCATTAAATGAACTTTCAAACACAGACCATTCCAATCAGTTTTTATCAATGGTGCGTTCAACACACAATCGTCACGAAGCATTTCTTCCTGCAAACTGCTACTCAGGTTCAGCAAAGTTGGAAACTGGTGCAGGGAAGATTTGAAAAAAGACATAAAATCTGGAAAAAGTGGTGGAGGCATGATGGGGTATTGCTGATAGCAGTTGGTTTCCGCAATTCCATTTACCTTTTGGTACAAAGCAGATAAATAATAATTAATCTGGACAAAAATAAATTAGAAGATAAAATAATAAATATATTTACTTTTGATTTGATGAAAGCAATTAAAATGTAGAACAGCAGGCAACGTTCAATCATTTTGATACTACTTTTTAAAACTAGATAGAAGGTTGACACAAATATATCTTGCTTGATGTCATTACACATAATAATGTTCGTCAGAAAGACTAAAATCCAATTTTATTTACTGGTGAGGTTCGCATTGTTGACAAATAATTTATTAAACATTTATAACAAGCACAATGAGTTTCTTCAATAAAACATTGATGGCGAACCAGCACCAGATAGTTGTTGTACTTCACCAAGAGCATGAGTATTGATTTTTGTCAGCAGTTTGCAATTTCTCTATCGTATTTTTATTTCCTTTAAAAATAAAAAAGTTGAAAACTTTCAAAATGTTTTGGTTAATTTTTAGCATATATCTAATAAAAGTCATAGAAGAAATCAATTAAAGTTTGTTGTCATCATTTATGATTCACAATACTTGAAATAGTTAAAAATCAAAACTTAGTTGTAAACTTTTGTCAATAATAATGTAGTAAAGTTTTTTCTAAGATAACGCAATACAACCAATAACTTTACTGGATCATTTCGTTTGGCTTTAGTTACTATATATTGGCTTTTTTAAAAAACTAATTCGAAGGGACACAAGACCACAGTTCATTCAAAATGGCGGTTGTTATGGCGCTTTGAAGGAAATTCATCCTTTTGTAAATTTGTAGATAGCTTGTAAACATATTACGCGATTTTTTTAGTTTATTTGTTTGTAAATTATTTTTTATTTTATAAACGGTTAGATTGTTTTTATTTTCTTGCTTGAATAACTATTGTTTGTTTTTTTCATATATATATATCTATCTATCTATATCATATCCTCCATAAAAAAAAAGAAATCCACCATCCATTTAATTTAATCTTAATGTAATGATTCATAAACATAAACATATAGAAATGGGCGCGAAGAACATATACCCATATCTAAATGAAATAAAATGTTATAACATCATCATGAATATATAAATGATGAGAACAAAAACAGAAATAAATAAACACACACTCACTTATATACTTCTATCGTTCTAATCTAAATAAAATAAAAATGTATATTACACATACATACTATCACACACACTTGTATAATACATATATGATTTTATGTACATATATTAAAACAATACTGATAATAAATAATGATAATCCTGACCTTAACCAAGCTCACCTACCCAGACGTCTATACACTCTGTAAAGTAAACACATATAAATACTTTCATGTTCATTAAAAATGTCACACAAAGTACAGTAATAACCAATAAATGTCAACCTGACAATATACATATATTTAGTTTACTTATAGATCCAAACACTCAATTGCTTATACCCATTCTCGTCTGTACACAAATTTATCACACATACTTACACATAAAATAAAATTAAATAAATAGTAAATAAATATACCAAAATAGAAATTCTATAATTAAACAAACCATCACAGATACATATGTGTACACCCCATCACATCATACATACAATATGTATTATAGACAAAATCGTAACATGAAGTGTGCCAAATAGATACATAATTAATTAAATAAATAAAACAATAAATAAAAGAAAACTTCAGTGAAATAACGGTATTATAATATAAATTGAAATAAAAATATACAGTATTTTGTTAATTATAATAAATAACCACAAACAAAATAATGAAGTTAAAGGCAATCATTCTGCAATTGTTTAATTATAAATTAAACAAACATATAATGTCCGATAAACATTTACTGTTCACCATTTAGGACAATCATATTCAAATTTCCAAGGGATGTTAAACAATGATTGTCTACATTTTTCTTAAATTCAGCAATGTTACGAGAACACACCACCTCTTCAGGAAGGTCATTCCACAATCTAACGATTTGATTTGTAAAATAATACTTTCTTAGATTTTTATTGAAGGTTTTAACTTTGAGCTTTAATTTATGGCCTCTTGTTCTGTTGTCATTCACTGGATTCACTCTTCAACATATTAAAAAGTAAAATAATATCTCCTCTATTTTTACGGTATATCAATGTGGGCAGATCAAGATGTTTCAGTTTTTCCGCATACTTTAAATAGGAACAATTCTTTACCATTTTTGTAGCCCTCTTCTGGACTTTCGATATCTTTTATTTTTTTTTATGATCTACGGTCTCCAGACACTCACTGCATATTCCAAGTTTGGTCTGACTGAACCCTTGTACAACTGTGAGAAAGAAAATTTGTTTAAATTACAAAAATTTTTGTTTATTATGCCTAGAATCGTAATTGCTTTGTTAATTTATTCATGTATTTGAGTTGTAAATTTCAATTTACTATCAAATGAAACACCTTCGTCCTTGCTTTCTAAGTATTTATTTTGAATACTGTAATCCATGTCCAAATCTATGTTACCCCCTAGTCTCATAACAACACACTTATCTATGTTAATACTAACCTTCCAAACATTACACCAATCAACAATTCTGTCTAAACATCTCTGCAAACTAATCACATCCTCTTCTTTCTTTATAGGTTTAAACACTTTAGATGATCCATGAAGTGAAGAAAACAGAAACAAGGCCTTTTTGCCTTTTGGTCATCTTTAAGAACATATTTTTAACTCTGTTTTATACATTTTGTGTCTTTTGTTTGGCAATTAAAAATATTCACTATAGAATTATAGTTTTTTCCGTTTTATGAATAAATTGAGCTTCTGTAGTCAGTCTATAAATCTTACTTGTTAGGGATAGTGTTTTTAGCCCAGTCTAGTAGTATTAAAAGTTAAATTATTAAGCTTCAGCAATAGTGAAGTTAGCAACATTATCTAAATTTATTTAGTGAAAAAAAGCAAAAGAAGAATTTCAATTTTATTAATTAATAATGATCAGTGAAATAAATTTGTTGTAATATACAGTATAAGTTCAGTTCAATATAACATTCAAATCATATCACCAGTTGTGACTTAAAGGTAAGCTAAAATAAAATGTAAATTAATTGATGCTGTCATCATTTACTTTACATTCACATGAAATAATTAGAAAGTTAATTAAGTCATCTCTCCATGATGATGATACATGTAGTAGTGTATCATTCAATTTTAATAAGCAGTGATCCAATAGAGCATACTACTATTATTATTTGTAGAAAAAGAATGACACTGGGTGATATAGAGACACTGAATGTTTTGTTAGCCTGGTCAAAATTTGACATTCAACATCTTGCATTTTTAATGTTCAAATAATGCAAGTCTCATGATTTTAGTTGAATTAAACATAACGTTAAGTATGTCATCAAAATGTTATAGAGTTAACCCTAAAACAATCTTAGAAAATAAAAATTAATTTAATAATTAATTATATAGTAAAATTTGAATTAAATTATATTGATTCAAATATTTATAGCTGTCATTGATTTTATTGATTTGCTGCTTGAATAAAGGTATATACACATTAGTAACTAATTTTGTGAATTAAATAGAAATTAAAAATTGGATGTTTCATTTCTTGAATATTGCAGTTATGTTGAATGGAAATATGGAAAACAGCACACAAGATCATGATCAAATATCTAATGATTTATCAAATACTCCAACAAATCCATGTGCAAGGTCGAAGGATGATGAGATGGTAGCATATCTGTTTCAAAGACCAGATTTAGATCAGACATTTCTAGTAGGAAAACGATGGGGTGGTCCAGAAAACATTTTGGATCAAGTACAACTTAATTTTTTTACAATGTTCACTAGATTTGCTGTGTTTTGCATTGCTGTTTAGTACAGTCATATTTTTTCATAATGAATTTTTTTATGTTTTTTGGAGTTTTACATATAAAATGTTTCTAAAGAACAAAAATAATTACCCTATAATAAACAAAATTTGTGGAGCTATCTGATCAGCAAGCATATGACATGATAAGAGGGTTGTTTTTGTTTCTTTTTATTTCTGAATTTGGCAACTCCAGTGATGAACTTGGATCAACGATGATTAATTTTTCTCTAAGAACTTGCAACCTATCCTTGTTGCACTGCAAACATCCTTCGGCCAAATCAATATTGTTGATCTTTGGCTCTAAAACGGAGTCCTTCATCTTCTTTTTAGTAGCCATTGCTTGCTGCAAATAACAACACTTACTGAAACAATTTTTGGAAAAATATTACAAATTTTATTTTCAAAAATTTTATGAGTGATATTACAATGCAAAAAACAAATTAGATGTTGAAGATTTGGTTTTGGTCAGTACATTTCATTTTTAAAACTTTTATTTCTAATGTTTCACTAAAATGTCTTAACAGAAAACTTTGTCATTTTCCAATAAAATATTTTATTTGAAA